TTTTCAGACCGATGAGCTTTGTAAAAATCGACGTGTTTCAGAAAGGCGGGGCATAGAGGAGAAACAATAATGTACAGTATGTGGAAAATAATGTGTTTTTGGAACCTTAAAACGCATAAACACATTTCATTACACCAAATACACAAAATAATGTTCTTTTAGCAGCATCATATGACCCCTTTAACAAAGATTTCACAAGGCTTCTATATTCTTAAATTCAAACGGTCTGTAATGCAAGTACAGGATGTAAAGGTTTTTCCAGCAGGTTGCACTTTAATCCTCATGTTCTCTTTAGGCTGCTGTTCACACGTCTAGACTTTCTCTAGTTTCCGCGGCCCCTCAGACGCCCCGGCTCGGCTCGTCATCAGAGCGGCGAGTGTTTCTGAAGAGATGGAGCTGAACTCGACTGAGAACGAGCTGTAAAACAGCAGCACGATGATGGCAAACATCCACTCCAATATAGCAGCCGCGTGCTGGAGAACAAAACTCTCCTGAATGAAAAACACACCGCCTGCAGGACAGCGTTAAGAAACTATACAGTCATATGGAGCAGTTTTATGAGTTTATGAGCACTGCATGTGGAGGATATTGAGTATGAGGGTGGTGAAGGCCAGTGCGGTGAACGTCAGCCGCAGATGAGACGTCTGGAAGTCTCTCGGCGTCTCGGCTGTGCGGTACGAGAGCAGCGTCTGCACGCACACAAACAGCAGACTGCCAGGGAAGACCAGACCCGCGCCCACATAATGAAGGACTTTAGCATGGTCCACCTGCAGAACACAGCACAGAGTCAACACAAGTTACAGGTTCAATCCCACTGCACACCTTTTTTTCAAATGTACAGTTTAGGTACCTTTAAGGTAATAATATGCACTATTTTTAGTGGGAAATAAGGTACAAAAGTGTACTTTTTAAAAGGCGAGACACTGCAGGTGAATAGGGTAAAAAAAACAACTAATAGTTATGGCCTTACTTACCCAGCTGATTGATTACATTGATAATTGCAAACATTTTTTGTATTACAAGTTTTCTAAAATGTTAGGTTTAAATATGCAAATGAGTCATTATTTAATGAAATATGCGCTAATTTGCATACATTTCTAGTACAAAAATCTAAACACTGGATGATGTCAGTTTCAAAATTCTTCTTTAATTTTTTTGACGTTAGAGTCAAAAGTTTTTACAAAAGTTCTCATTTTTGTCACTCCATAATTCAGAACGGACAGAAAACACTATATTTTCACAATTTTGGGGGGATTCAAATGTTGTATATAATCACAGAAATTGTGATATGAACAAATCCCTGTGTAAAAACCTTCAGGATATAGACTATAGGTATAAAAATGTAAAGTTTGGTGTGTGTACGTGCTACTGAAGTGTAGGAGAAAAAACTCATTTTGAGAAAACGGCCTTTAAAAAAAAAATGTATTATAACTGAAATCTATTGACACAAATAGATAAAGTGCTATAAAAGAAACACTTAACAGTGTCTTTTGGATGTTTTCTTTCCACTAGTCTGAAAAAACACTTTATGAAAAACCAAAAAGCCCAAAATCTCAAACTTGACAGGTGCATGAAAAAATTATTTTTCTCGCGGTCTTAGAAAACCTGGATATAAGAGGAGATTTCTAGACCTGAAAAAGTAAGACAAACTCATGGAAATTTATATTATCAATACAAATTTTATCAAGCTCTAAAATATTTTATTACATATTCTAAAAAAATTGGGGTAGAAACAATTTTCACTAAATTTTAAATAAATTTGCTACTAAATTTCACAAATAATTACAAATAAATGGCAAGTTATATATTGAATTAAACATAAAATTTTAAAGTAGAAAGACTGAAATAGTATTTACTTGTAAAATGTGCCCCGATATTTACAACTTTGAAATGAAAAAACAACTATATTTTTTTAGAGCAGAAATTTATATATTTTTTAAAGCCAATTACTTAAAAAAAATGACTAGAACATTCATGAATGAACATTCAGTTCTTAAAACTTCTTAAAACTTAACAGAATTGAATTATTTCAATTTTAATACTTTATAATTATTTTATTGAATTATTGTAATTTATTGGCACTCCTAGTTTCTGTAAATAAAGAGATAATTGAGCAGCAGAAGTCTCAGAAATATCTCTGAATACTGTCTTTGTCAATAACACACAAGTCTGTTGTGTTTATTTGATCATGCTGATAATAATATTACATAATATCTGCTGAAGCAAAGGAAAGCACACATTTATGGGCTTATTTAAAGCTCTAATAAACTATAGCAAATTGTGTTTGTTCTTGAGTCGATAAAAGTTGTAAGGCACAGGCAGAGATCTGGAGGAGACGCCTGAACAACGAGCAGCACTTCAGATGTTCCAGAACATACTATCAAATCATCTATTCTGGAGATTTCTTTTCATATGAATCCGCCAAATTAAACAAGAGTCCTAAAGGAGTTCAAACCATCATAATCCATTAAAATATGCTTCAAAATATTGAACCCTGCCGAATGTAGAGTATTAAAATAACAAATAACCAAAATAGTGTCTATGGAGAAATTCTCATATGAAAAGTGGAAGAAATTGCTGTGAATTGCTGCTTTGTTCTTATTTTCTTACTTGGAAGTTTCCCACAATCATGATTCCTGCAGCACAGAGCCATCCGGCAAACAGACCCTCAACGTTCAACACACTGTTGCTGTGCTTATGGATGAGCTGAGCGTAACGCAGCAGACCAATCACAATCACTGTAACACACAAAACAGAACAATCACAGTCACTGTAACACACGAAACACACCAATCAGTCACTGTAACACACGAAACACACCAATCAGTCACTGTAACACACGAAACACACCAATCAGTCACTGTAACACACGAAACACACCAATCAGTCACTGTAACACACGAAACACACCAATCAGTCACTGTAACACACGAAACACACCAATCAGTCACTGTAACACACGAAACACACCAATCAGTCACTGTAACACACGAAACACACCAATCAGTCACTGTAACACACGAAACACACCAATCAGTCACTGTAACACACGAAACACACCAATCAGTCACTGTAACACACGAAACACACCAATCAGTCACTGTAACACACGAAACACACCAATCAGTCACTGTAACACACGAAACACACCAATCAGTCACTGTAACACACGAAACACACCAATCAGTCACTGTAACACACGAAACACACCAATCAGTCACTGTAACACACGAAACACACCAATCAGTCACTGTAACACACGAAACACACCAATCAGTCACTGTAACACACGAAACACACCAATCAGTCACTGTAACACACGAAACAGACCCATCACAGTCACTGTAACACGTGAAACAGATTAATCACAGTCACTGTAACACACGAAACAGAGCAATCACAATAACTGTAACACGTGAAACAGATTAATCACAGTCACTGTAACACACGAAACACACCAATCACAGTCCCTGTAACACACGAAACACACCAATCACAGTCCCTGTAACACACGAAACACACCAATCACAGTCCCTGTAACACACGAAACACACCAATCACAGTCCCTGTAACACACGAAACACACCAATCACAGTCCCTGTAACACACGAAACACACCAATCACAGTCCCTGTAACACACGAAACACACCAATCACAGTCCCTGTAACACACGAAACACACCAATCACAGTCCCTGTAACACACGAAACACACCAATCACAGTCCCTGTAACACACGAAACACACCAATCACAGTCCCTGTAACACACGAAACACACCAATCACAGTCCCTGTAACACACGAAACACACCAATCACAGTCCCTGTAACACACGAAACACACCAATCACAGTCCCTGTAACACACGAAACACACCAATCACAGTCCCTGTAACACACGAAACACACCAATCACAGTCCCTGTAACACACGAAACACACCAATCACAGTCCCTGTAACACACGAAACACACCAATCACAGTCCCTGTAACACACGAAACACACCAATCACAGTCCCTGTAACACACGAAACACACCAATCACAGTCCCTGTAACACACGAAACACACCAATCACAGTCCCTGTAACACACGAAACACACCAATCACAGTCCCTGTAACACACGAAACACACCAATCACAGTCCCTGTAACACACGAAACACACCAATCACAGTCCCTGTAACACACGAAACACACCAATCACAGTCCCTGTAACACACGAAACACACCAATCACAGTCCCTGTAACACACGAAACACACCAATCACAGTCCCTGTAACACACGAAACACACCAATCACAGTCCCTGTAACACACGAAACACACCAATCACAGTCCCTGTAACACACGAAACACACCAATCACAGTCCCTGTAACACACGAAACACACCAATCACAGTCCCTGTAACACACGAAACACACCAATCACAGTCCCTGTAACACACGAAACACACCAATCACAGTCCCTGTAACACACGAAACACACCAATCACAGTCCCTGTAACACACGAAACACACCAATCACAGTCCCTGTAACACACGAAACACACCAATCACAGTCCCTGTAACACACGAAACACACCAATCACAGTCCCTGTAACACACGAAACACACCAATCACAGTCCCTGTAACACACGAAACACACCAATCACAGTCCCTGTAACACACGAAACACACCAATCACAGTCCCTGTAACACACGAAACACACCAATCACAGTCCCTGTAACACACGAAACACACCAATCACAGTCCCTGTAACACACGAAACACACCAATCACAGTCCCTGTAACACACGAAACACACCAATCACAGTCCCTGTAACACACGAAACACACCAATCACAGTCCCTGTAACACACGAAACACACCAATCACAGTCCCTGTAACACACGAAACACACCAATCACAGTCCCTGTAACACACGAAACACACCAATCACAGTCCCTGTAACACACGAAACACACCAATCACAGTCCCTGTAACACACGAAACACACCAATCACAGTCCCTGTAACACACGAAACACACCAATCACAGTCCCTGTAACACACGAAACACACCAATCACAGTCCCTGTAACACACGAAACACACCAATCACAGTCCCTGTAACACACGAAACACACCAATCACAGTCCCTGTAACACACGAAACACACCAATCACAGTCCCTGTAACACACGAAACACACCAATCACAGTCCCTGTAACACACGAAACACACCAATCACAGTCCCTGTAACACACGAAACACACCAATCACAGTCCCTGTAACACACGAAACACACCAATCACAGTCCCTGTAACACACGAAACACACCAATCACAGTCCCTGTAACACACGAAACACACCAATCACAGTCCCTGTAACACACGAAACACACCAATCACAGTCCCTGTAACACACGAAACACACCAATCACAGTCCCTGTAACACACGAAACACACCAATCACAGTCCCTGTAACACACGAAACACACCAATCACAGTCCCTGTAACACACGAAACACACCAATCACAGTCCCTGTAACACACGAAACACACCAATCACAGTCCCTGTAACACACGAAACACACCAATCACAGTCCCTGTAACACACGAAACACACCAATCACAGTCACTGTAACACACGAAACAGAGCAATCACAATCACTGTAACACGTGAAACAGACCAATCTTCTATTTTTTTTCATAATTCTGAGTTTACATCTCAAAATTCTATTTTTTTCTTCATAAGTCTGAGTTTACATCTCAAAATTCTAACCTTTTTTTAATAATTCTGAGTTTACATCTCGAAATTCTATTATTTTTTTCATAATTCTGAGTTTACATCTCAAAATTCTAACCTTTTTTTTAATAATTCTGAGTTTACATCTCAAAATTCTAACCTTTTTTTTTATAATTCTGAGTTCACATCTCAAAATTCTGATTCTGACTTTTTTCTCAGAAGATGTAAACTCAAGTTTATACCTCACAATTTTGAGTTTACATCTTGCAATTCAGGTTTTTTTCCCCGCCATGGAATATAAAATTTAATAAAGTAATTGTGACTTTTTAATCTCAAAATTCTTTCTCAGAATTGCATGTTTATATATATATATAGGCGTCTCACCTGAACAAGGCCAGACATAATGACCAGAGCATGAGAGGCGTCCACAGGTCTAACTTCTGCCTGTCCTTCATAAAGACACATCCAAGAAATATAACTGCTGCATACGCACCCGACAGAACAAACGCTGTTTTCATTGAGTGTCTGTCTCACAATTCTGACTTTATATTTTGCAATTTATTTATTCATTTATTTGGAATCACTGGGAAAAGTCTGAATTGGGAGAAGTGCGTTAAAAAAGTCCGAATTGTGAGATAAAAAGTTTTTTTTTTCATTTGCTTCCATACTCCTCTCCCGCAAACAAGAGCAATAAAAAACAACAACAACAAACGGGGACTTTTATTTTGAAAAATAACAGTATTCTGTTTTATGTGCCGCTGCTGCGTCCTGCTTCATGCTTTACAATCACGCGGAAAGCTGCATAAACTCACTCGCTGCAAGTATGTCATGATGCATTTTGCAGCTAATATCAAGCTATATCCATTAAGCACTCTGACTCGTTTTAGCCGCACCAGAATCGCTGTGTTATAAGTTTCATAATTAACTGATGTCAGTGCATGTAAACACAAGCAGTCTGCCGCAAACCTCAAAAGCAGAAGCAGATGAAAGCACAAGCTCCTTCAGTTCCTGACATGTGTTTGTGTGCTGTGCTTGTTATCAGTGTGTGACGGATGTGGATTCTGATGGGCGTTGTTGTATCAAATGCTGATATTCGTTTGACTGAAGGCTCATTCAGCAGAACCTCCCTCTGGCGTTATTATTATTATTATTATTAAAGCACTGTCTGTTTCAGTGGTTATAGATGCCTGCAGAAATGAAAGTGCTACTTCTGAAAGAACCACGAGAGAGTGGAGATGAAGCAGACCCTTATATGAAGGTAAAGCTGATTCAGTGCTCTAATAAAACTCACAGGAAGTGCTTTGAGAGTGTAACTTTGTTGCTAAATTTAGCAACTTTTCAGACTTTTTCTTCCAGAAGCACCTAGCAACAAATGTAGCTATTTTTTAAATTAATTTAGCAACTTTTGATAAGTGACTCAAATGATAAAAAGGCACACATTTACCATCTAAATTACACAAAAAGAGAAATCCAAAGATGCCTAGCAGTACACACCTCACGTGAATTAAGTTAGCTTCTATTTTCAGTTGTTCAATTTAATAATAATAATGAATAATTGTTCATTTATGTTACACTTTGTTAGTAGCTTGTACTTGCGGTTGTTGATCAGTTAGTAAGAAAAATATCTACAAAAATGGAAAAGGTACTAGTAGTTTTCCAGGGCATTATCCGTTATCCATTAACCGTTGTAACCTGAAAACACAAATTATGTAATATAAAAATGCAGTGGAAAAATCAATACGGAAAATTCCTTCATTATTACATAGTAGCTTGTCTTAGAGTGTAATATACTAACTAACTACTTTTTTAATTGTTCAGAATGTGTAGTTTTAGTTATTTACTAGCTAACAAAATTAAAAAATGGTTATTTACATTTTAATATGCATTTATATTATTTTACAAACAAATCTACATTTAAGATTTGATTTGATGTAGCGACACAATTTTGCGTCGTGATTACGTAATGATGTCATTTAGCAACTTTTAGCAACAAATCAACCTTCCTTTAGCAGCTTCCCCTGAAAATGAGTTGGCAACAGTGTAACAATGTGGCTGTTTCTTTCAGGAATTGTCCTCTTGTGGACACACGGCTGCTTTGATTCCGGCTCTGTCCTTCAGATCTGTGTCTCTAAACGAGCTCTCCGAGCGGGTGAGTGTGGAAACCCGCTTCTGTAGTTGCCTGGTGTTGTTGTGGTTTGTTAGATATGAACTCTGTGTCCTTCTGTTGGGGAAACACCAGCTCTTTGAGCCCGAGAGGTTTGGAGGTCTGATCTTCAGCAGTCCCAGAGCCGTGGAGGCCGTGAAGAGCTGCTTAGACTCTCAGAGACACAGACACAGTGAGTCTGGATCAGCAGATGCTCACAGCCTTTGCAGTGGCTTTTGTTTTGTAGTTGATGAGTGATGCATGATTTCTTTGTTACAATGTCACAAAATTACATTTTCACAAAAAAGTAACTCTTCCATATGGGATTTGTAATGACCGACTGCAGTGTTATTTTTGTATCATTGAGTTAGCTTTAATAATATTTTGAATCAATTTTTATTTTTATATTTTCCATTTCCATTTTAGTTGTTTTGTTATGTGTTTTTGTAGTTTTTTTAACATATATAAA